ATTAAAATTAGTAATTACAAAAATAAAAAGTAATAAGTGATTAAAGTAATATCAAAATAAAATAGTATAATATTATTTTATTATCTTCCAGCTTATTTCGCATATATTCAAATTTACAATTTAATAAAACTAAGGAACATAAGTTATAGAAAGACCTAATAAAAGATAAAAAAAATAAATATTTCTTACTTCAATATATAATTATTATTTTGCTTATATATTAGCTGGATTAAAAAAAATTAAATGCACTCGTTTGATTGAGATCGCCACTGAGAGAGTGGCGATCAAACATGTTTGGCTCTTATCTTTAAGATCCGGCTGTTTCGACCAATCATTCCTCTGCCGTTGTGGCATTCTGTGAATCACGATCACAATTGCGCAAACGCAATTTCAACCATCTGACCGATAGTTAACCTTGTTTTTGAAATTTGTACAGTTTCATGTAAGGACGTTGGGAATAACATCGAAAGTAGATAACGTCCGCTCCTGTCAAAAGATACGATGTATCGCACGTAATATCGGCGATTTTCTCTGCGATCGGATGCAATGGATGCCGTTTACGTGCTCCATTGTCGCGCAATGAGCTTGTAGAATGGCAACGAGGGAGAGCAGGATCGAATCCGTGGCGGATCCCTGCCCTGTGAATCCACGCAGGATCGGTCCGCAGAACGTGGTGGTGCGTCTCCGACGTAGGGAGACGATGGGTTGTCCATATCCAGGCACCCATGTGCACTGCGCTCGACAGTTCTACCAGAATGTCTTTCCCAACTTCACTGTGATGAATGTGGAGAAGCCGCCGTGTTTCCTTCGCAAATTTAGCCCAGACGGGAGGTACTTAGTGGCGTTCAGCGCGGATCAGACTTCGATCGAGGTGTACGAGTATCGCGGAGCACCGGCCGCTGCAGACTTACTGGCCGACTGTGAAGGCGAGTACATCGGCCACAAGAACGATGACTGTAGCTTTCACATACGAAGTAATATCTTCGCGCGATTTTTCAAGGTACTGGATACTATCCGACTCCGCACGGCATACGCCTTTACTTTGCGGATTGTAAAAGATTAAAGAAAAGAGAGAAATAGAGAGAAAGATAGAGAGAGAGAGAAAGGGAGAGAACCGGTGAAATTGATGTACCAGCTCTGAAACGTATTTGTAGGTAAAGTGGATTATAAATGTAGTAGAAAGCAACCAGCAATTGAACAGAGAATGCAGTCTTTTCACCGACGATGCTCGGTATGTAATCGTAGGCTCGGCCGCTCATATCCCTGAGGAGTTGAGGCCACATTTTTATCAGGTAGCACAAAATTTCTAATTGTTTTATCTAAGATTATTACTTTTTCTGAAAAAGAATTTAATAAAATAATATTTCTTAAAGATTTATTCCAATAATGAGGCACTGACACCGAATCCTAGATCACCGCTTGAAGATTATAGCTTGCATCTTGTTGATTTAAGGGGTGGAAAGTTATGTGACACTAGACATTTTAAAGTCGATAAAATTTACTTGTCGCACAATCAAGGTATATAAATGAAATTTGGATCAAATCAAACAGCGATGACATTGTACGAGTACGATTTGCTGAGAAGAGCACAAAGAATTTTGCTCATTTTTATAGGTTCTGAACCTTTTGTCCAACAATGAAACTTGGCTCAAATGAAAAATTACGCCAGCCTGCGAATTTATACATTTGAATTATTTGAACAAACTTTATCATTTTTAGGTTTTAAACACAATATTTTATTATCAATGAATATATCAAATAATTCAATAGTCTATTATTCCTCTATTGATTAGTATACGAGTACTACTGAATGAGAAATTCAAAATGAGCAAAGTTTTTTTTAATTGCATTTGTTAAAATATTGATCAATTAGATAGTTAACAATATTTCAAACTTTTAAAATAAATTTATTTCCTTTCTATATAGGTCTATATTTATACAAAGATATATTAGCAGTTTTATCTGTACAGCATCAAATGATTCATATCTTTCAAATTCTTGACGGCATGTTTATAAATGTCAGAACAATAGGAAGGTATTGTGAGCACACATTATCTTACTTAAATGTACAGTTATTAACACTTTGATAAAAAAACATGAAAATACAACATAAATGATATGTGTTAGGTTTTGCATGGAAGACGATGCTTATTTAGTGACGAGTGCTTTTCCTGGGATTAATTGTCGGCCATTTAAGGATGTTGCAATAAATAGTTTGAAGCACAGATTATTAGTATATTTATACAAAAGAGCAGAATATATAAGCTACGTAACCAAGAATCCTTATGAACTGAGAAGATTTTATCAATATTTTGATCAGCTAAATTCTCTAAGAATGTGGAAGATGCAACTATTAGATACCAATCACATCCTGGTGAGATATGCTAGCGAAGAAGTAGCAACGTTGCAAGCAACTGAACCAAATGCGCAGCCGGCTTTATTAGTAGTTTACGATATGGTTACGGCAAAAATTTTGGCGGCTTACGACAACGCGTCGACTCAATTGTTAACTCAATTCGAAAACTTTAGCGACTTTTTCAGAAATGCCAGAATGAGCACGGATTGTCAGTACATGTGTTCACCATCTAACAACATATATGCACGGTATATAATATTATTCTTCATCTTAACATTGATGCACACATGATTGTCTAGATAATTTTCCTTTAACTTTGTTTCATTTCCTTTCAGATTATTGCAGCAAAGATTCAAGCAAACGATAATAAGCGCTAGATATGGAGGTGTAACTGAAGCTACGAAAAGGCTGCTTGCTCAGTTACCAATATGTGCACAATCCTACTCGAGTTCTCCGTACCTCGATTTATCTTTATTTTGTTACGACGATAAATGGGTATCTATGATGGAACGCCCAAAAGCATGTGGGGAACATCCAATACGGTTGGCGATTCATTCTTATCCTCGTGATAAAAAGTTATCGAGAAAACTAATATTGCCTGTGATTTCTAATTTCTTTTCTTTTATACAGCTTTTATGCACGTGACTCGGGTCTCTTAAAATTTAAAATGTATGCCGGTATGCTGGGACGAACGGCACCAACGGCTGCAAGACGATTAGTTGCATTCACGTTCCATCCAACTGACCCATTTGCAATATCGGTGCAGCGTACTAATGCAGAATATATTGTTAGTTTTCATGTTAGGCATGTCTAGATCTTCCTTTTCTTGATACATGTATATTTTACTAATGTATAAAGAGATTTCTTATATCTCGCAAGAATTGTTGAGATCGCTAAAGTACAAAATGGGGATTCTGCTTTACGAACAAAACTATGTTACAGCGTGATCATACATGTTAATTATATTTAAGAACTATCATCGACTGCTAGCATGTAAGACAATTGTAGTTTAATATACTTTTAATACAATTAAAGATTGAAATTCTTAAAAATGCAAAATATTTGGTCACATTAATGAAGTCTTAAATATATATAAGGCCTGACTGAATAATAATTTTATTCATAAATATTCTGTTCACCTTGTATTCCTTGTTCTTTGTAACTAAATGTTCTGTATCTCACCTTTTTTTCATCAATATTTAATTTAATTTGTACTAATCTTAGCTAAATTTATTTTACGTATTGATCGATAAGGCTTTTTAAACTTCTTGATTGGCTGCAAAACAGAGAGATTCTTGGATCTCTCTGTTCTACAGCCAATCAACAAGCTTGAAAAGCTTTATCGACCGATACATGAAAAATTATCCCTGCAACGATCATAGCCAATCAAAATGTGCTACACTGGAGTATACAAGAGAAACATTCCATTTGGGCTGTGGTCAAAGTCTCGCTACAAATGCTTTGAAGCATTTGATGGACCAATTAGAAGAAAGAATTTACAAATTGACCAATTAAAAAACGCTTCAAAGCGTTTGCAGCATCGCGTTGACTGTACCCTTGATCTCGGTGCAATTGAGGACGGTATTTATAAGGTCGATATCAGACTATGCATTGAAGATTGAAATTGAAGATTAAAGATTGAAATTTCACCAATGAGGATAAAAAATTTTGGCTCCTTTTGTTCTGATTGGTCAAACTTCAATCTTTCAATCTTCAATCTCATTTTTCAATACATAGTCTGATTCCAGCCTTACGGAATTTTGTGTGCGATAGCCCTAAGGCTATATCCACATAATTTGCCTCATAAATATTGGGTCATCTAAAAAGTATCCGCGGTTTTTTGTCACTAGATGTGTGTTGATGGTCATATATCTAGTGACAAAGTACCGCGGATACTTTTTAGATGACCCAATATATGTATAAAGAAAATTATCCAATTACATTTTACGTGCATCTTTATAGAAGAAATGCGATTGGATAATTTTCTTTATGCATATGTTTATGTGGCTATACAAATTATATGGATATATCCTAAAGCCTTCTGTCCACGATGTTAGAAATCGAGACCTAGGATGAAGAAAGAATTGATCAATCGCAATGGTCATGTGATCAAATTGTTCAAATGTGATTTGTTAATTTTTTCTCTGTCGAGATCTTGGACCGTTTCTAACGTAGTAATCATTGGGCTTAAGAATTGACTAATCACAGTTGAGTATTCCTCTCTCATTAGATGATAAGAAGGGAATGCTCGAAGATGATTGGTCAATTTTTTTCCTCCATTGTGCGCGGAGCCTTATTTCAATTCCTAATTTTGTTCTGTTGTGCGCAAGCCCTTACCTTATACGCCGTGACCATCCTCCATGATTCATCCTCCATCTCGCAGTTCGTAGCACCACAGTATATGCCGTAGGACGTGTACTACGGAATATGCAATAAGCGTTCGGAACAAAGATAATCGGATCGTACTGATTCTTTCGATGTGTATATTGGTTGATTGATTCCTGATTTTTTAATCGGTCTTGTGTCAAATTTCGTAACAATCGTGTCGCATGTATTATCGCTAACATCTGGAACGCATTAGCAGGAGCATAACGCACATTTTCAGTGTAATTTGTCAGAGTGAATCTCGGCCGCTGATGTTCTAACATTCGCCACGTTTTAAGTTCATCAAAAGACCAGGAACTAGTCTCCATCGTGAACTGCAACACAAAATATAAGGAGGTATTTCTTATTTCATACAGAATACTTGTATTTTATATTCTGATGCAAATGCTCTCTGTTTATGTATTTGTCTTTTTTTTTTCTATCGATAACCTCCTGTTGCTCATATGCGCGCGCATATTTACGGGATATTTTACTTTTGATAAATAGTGCATTGTACTCTGTCTCTCCTCCAGTGCGTTGTTTAAAGCATTATTTTAAAGTTTTTATTACATGTCTATATTATAACTTAAATCATTAATTGTATATGTATATGCAGTATATTTGGTTTAAATGTGCTCAGTTATCTTACAAATAACAGTTATATAAAAAATTAGTTAAAAGTTATTTTGTGTAAGATGATCTATATTCTATATGATGACTCAAGTAAAACTTGAAAATTTTTATTTAATGCTTATAGAACAATTTTATTTTTTCTTTTTAATGGAATATTTATTTTAATAGAAGGATTAAAATTTATTTTATTTTTTGTTATACAATATTGTAAGATCAGCTTGCTACTTAGGCAATGATTTAAATCAGACAAAATTTGGTGATCAAACTTTTCTCACTCTATGAATTTAAAGTCTCCTCTATCTTAGTATGCTAAAGTTATTTAAGATGTTATTAAAGATATTACTAAAGTTATTTAAGTTATAAATATATAGAAAATAATTTATATTTATTATATTTTATTCTTGAAATGACTTCTTTTTGTTATAGGAATCTATGAGAAGAAAAGCACAATTAGATGTACAATTCTCGAAAAGATCTCACAGTAATCCTTTTGTCAAATAGTTACACACTCCTACATAAGCGTGTGTATATACATTTTTATGTATGTATTCTTGTGTATGTATGATATAAGCATATTACATATGCAATAACAAAGATAACTGTACTTAATTGTGCTGATGTTAACAAAGATGAATGAAGTGTGCAGCAATAGTAAAAACAGTGTCTTGAACTCAGAATTACAAGACGTGATCATAAATTTGACATCACCGAGTGAAAACAAGTTCCTTCCTTCGTATAAATTTAAATTACCCGGAGCATCGACTAAACATTATCCAAGAAAAAATAGATATCTATTTCAATACAAAATGGCTAAACCATTGATTGTTAATACTGATATAGATTGGAATTCACCAAATACGAGTCCAGACTGTTATTGTATATCATCATATAAATCACTTCGAATGTCATCTAGGTCAAGTAAAATAATGAATGCGCTCAGTTCCGCTCATAGTTCCTTTCGTCAAGACACTGTAGGAATAAGAAAATCATTGAACTTTGACTCGAGTCCAAGTCCAAAGAGGAACAGTAGTTATGACGAGAATTCTACCAGTTCGATCAACACTGATACATCGTCATCCATATTAAATATAAGTTCAGTTGATTCAACTGACAGTAATGTTCCGATGACATCTGGGGAATCTATCGACGAAAATCAGAATCAAACGCCTCAACAAAATCGGAAATTGAGTTATAGAACTGATATAAAAGATAAAGTGCAGTTAAGAACAATTTATTTAATGTCGATGCTCGAGGGACAAAAAACCTACAAAAATACCTCTCGCGGATATTCAAATCCCTTTTGCTCATTGAACCCATTCACTAGACCAAAAGGATCCAGCCGTGTTTTATCTGCGAGTACACCCAGGAATCTATCTCAGGAATTTAACCAAGAACTAGACGATAGATCACATACACCTGAAAATATAATAAATGTAATTCCAGAAAGTATAAGTTCTATTAAGAAGAGCCACAAGAAGGTATATACAATTATATTTTATTATTGATTTATCTTTGTTATTTTTGAATTAATTCTTACAAATCTTTATATATTATAATTCTACATGCATTTGGCTATCATCTTATTAAAATAAATTTTTTATATGTATACATACATATTCATAATATAAATATATGTATATTCATAATATAAACAGGAAATATAGATAAAAACAAATATTTTTCTTTTTTTCAAAATTAATTACAAATTTTAGAAGAAACAATATATATTTACTTTTTTATAATTGATATACTAACATTTCTATTTTAACAGGAAAAATTATATTCTTCTGAAGAACAATCGCCTATTCAGCAGATGGATGTTTCTATACAAAATGATGATTTACGTTCAAGAACTATGGAATCTCCGGGAATAGATATGATTGCTACAAGTAGTAGCTATGTTGCTTCTGAAAATAAATCTCGTAAGAAAAACAGAAGTATTAAGAGAACACTTATTTACAATGACGATCGTCGTAACACTGAATCAGATTCTAATCACAATATGCAGCAGAAAATCGCATCGACAATAAATGATTCGTTGGAAAGTGGATTAAATCAAATAGAAAGTGATAAAATGCAAGATATTGATTCCATCAATGAGAGTTGTAAAGAAGATATGCAAGTTAAGATATGTCTTGTAAATCATAATAATGAAGAAAAAGATTGTTCCAACGAGAATGTTTGCAATGAAGTAAGTCAGTTATTGTTGCAAAACGAATCGTCAGATATTTGTAATGTGACCAGTGAGAATAGAACAGAATCTCCAGAATCTAGTTCAAATATTTCTCAAAATGCTAACGTAATAGTTACACCCGAAAATAACGTAAATATGTTAAAGCATGTATTGACCGAATCGATTAAGAAATCGCATAAGAAAATGAAACATGGAAATAGAAAGATGTTGTTTAAAACTCCCATTAAAGATCCTCATCAAAAAATGGAATTAACAAAATCTGAAATATCACTCGAAGATGTTGGCAATATTGATCAAGATATTGAAAGTCAGACACCTGATGCGATTCATGTCTCAAGCCCACAGAATTCCGAGCTTGATCGACCAAACACACCCGAAAATGTAAATTCAAGTAGACTCTTACTGCTTGGCTTTCATTCAGTTAAAAAGTCACATAAGAAAGACAAACGTAGCAAAAGAACTTCTAATTTTGTTGAATGCCACGAATATTATAAAGAAGGTAATCCATTACGACATAAATATGAAGAGGAAATTTGCAGAACCTTACGTAAGAATAAATCTCCTGACATATCTCCTACAGAGAAGTCAGTAAGCACATTTTTGCAAAGTAGTACACCCAAATTTTCAAGTGCTTTCATGCCTTTAGACTGTAAAGATATAAACAATGAATTTAAGATTTTTACTCCCATTAAAAAACGACGAATCCCGGTTGATGTTATGAATTATGTTTCTGCGGCCGATATGTCACAAGAAGAAAATGAATCTGCACAAGCAACATCAAAGGAAATTGATTGTTCCAGATGCGTGACTCCAGTAGCACGTTGTTCCAAACTGAGAAAACATGATCTTGTATCGGAACGCGATAACGCTAAAAAATCTGAGACTAATATAAATGTTTTGACAGTGACGGATACAAATCCAAAAGACAAGACTGGTAGATCAACTCCAATAAATATGTCGACGACGGAATTGCTTTGTAATATAGACTCGATTAAAAAATCACATAAGAAAGATAAGCATAACCGTAGCAAGAAGCTGATTTTAAAGAAAAAACGATCATATGTTAAAAAGAATGAGCATGTCAATTTTGGAAATAATGATAAGATGTTGGAAGAACCTATTAATTGGTCTTTGAAGCATTATTTCGACAAAAATTGTGCCGAAAAAGAGATGTGTATTATTATGGGTGAAAAGGAGAAGAATAAAAGTTATAAAGAGATTGTTTATGACGATCCCGAAGATCCTCAACCGTCTACAAGTCGAGGAGCAGATAATATGGAAAATATAAAAAATATCACAAAATCCAAGTTTCTGGATACAACGCCTCCAAATAGCTTAAGAGCAATGAATTTAATGAAATTGGTGCAAACGACTTCCATTAAAAAGTCTCATAAAAAGGAACGTGACATCAACGCACAAACCAAGTACATTTTAATGAGTCAGGAACATGAATTATCTGATGATGGATCGATATTCGACGAAAAAGAAAGATTGAATTTTATTCAAAATGATAATATCGCCCAAGATGACATATAATAACATATAATGACATATAATAGATAAATTAAAATAAGATTTATTAGATGATGTTATTGCTATAAGAAAACAAACATAATACAGAAAATGCCTTAGTAACAGATAATATGTAACAAGAATTTTTTTCTAACGGAGGAAATTTTCAAATCAATATTTTTGATAAATTTTCCAATTATCAGTATTGCCTATCACGTAAATTCCGAGTTAGAAATTAAGATTTAGGATTATATCTTTGCTTTCTTTGCATAGTCTAATTCATGAAACATTTGTTTTTAATGCAGAGATTACTGGAATCTTGTTGAGATAGGATGGATTTGTTTAAGTAAAAAACAAACACTAATATTAATAAATATTATAATTAAAATTGTGATCATGTTCATGTTTTTTGTATACTCTGCTTATTTTAGAAGACTAACTAAACAAAAGACAATTATAAATGGTAGCTGATTATTTCAAAATTTTGTTCAGTTAAATTAATTGAATGAACAAACAAATAAAATGTTTGTAAGATGTTAAGTGAATTTGAAAAGACTATTGATTTTTGTGTCTTCAACAAAGGATTAAAGTTATATCGCAGTATTTTGTAGTATGGATATAATTGCAAACAGTGCGATTATTTGATAATTTTAAGTAGTTTAAGAGACTATAATATCTTTCAAAAAAAAGGTATGTTCAAATTTATTGCGTAAATATTTCATGACTGATACTAATAGTATTCGAAACACGTACATGAAATACTATTTTTTATAATTCTTGTGAAAATTATCAATATTAAATATCAATTTAATGTTTTCCAAGTTAATTAAATTCTTGATATTGTTTTTAACATATTTTTACGTATATAAATCTGTTGCGGCACGATTATAATATTAATTCTTGTATATTTTATACCGCAATTTTGTTACGTTTTCGTATATAATTTATATCAAATAAGAGCTGTATATCTCAATATATATTCTGTCAGTATTGAAAATTTATAGTATACATAATGTGAATTATGAATTAGATTTTCAGCACATGGCAGAGTAAATCAGAAAACGATTAGAATATATATAAATAATTTAGGAAAAATTGCAATAAGTAATATTGTCGATATCTACGTTTACTGGATTTTATATCATTGATTTGTGACATTGATCGATATCGATTGAAATAGCTGAACTAAATTTACTTTATCTATATTAGTTTACTTTAAGGACTCTTTAAGGGTGTCATTTCGTTTGTGCACTTTTGTTTTAAGATAAATTTTTCAAGCCTGTCCTGCACAATTTGTTGTACGACAAACGCACAAATAAAATAGCACTCTAATTAAATCGCGTTATGAAAAATACAAATATACTGAGCACATATATTATTACATCCCGATATACTTGCATGGAAAAGGCATTTGCATTTCAGTGTGTAGTATTTAGATATTATGAATTAAGTTATTTTTTTTTAATACAAACGCGATTAGTGAATAAGTAAATCCATATATAATTTACTTTTTTTTGTAATATTGTATTAAAAAATTAAAAACATATTTTCTATCTATGATTTTTTTATTGTGTATAGACTGATCAGTCCTTTTTTATCCTTTTTTTCTAGAAAAAAAAATTTATTATAAAGAACTTTGTGATGTGTATCTTTTCTTTCAATTAAGTGATACGTAATATATTAGGAGTAGTAAAAATCTCGTCTACGCCTGATACAGATTACTAAAGCCATCTATTGAAAAAATAATGGATTCCTTTTTACTACACCTAATATATTGGGTCATCTAAGATGGTGTTGATGGTCAACACATCTAGTGACAAAAAACCGCGGATACTTTTTAGATGACCCAATATAAAGAATTGAATATCTCTGGGATAGATAATTCGAAAAATCCACATTATTGCTTTTCCTATCTAATGTAAAATCTTAAAATTTGACAATATATTTGTCCTTTTTTTTCTTTTTTACTATCTTTCCGAAAGGATTTAGATTGGATTCATCCGAGTATCTTCAACAATTTTAAGAGCTTTCCAGCAAGAGGCAAATTGATACAAGTCATTTTGTCCTTGCTCGATAATCAGAAACTAGAATTATTCTTTTGTCGATTTATGCCTCTGCTGGAAAGCTCCCTTTATTAGGTATCGATCGATCATTTTGGATCATCTGCCTTCTTGAATTACTGTGGAAAAAAGACTGATCACAATAATATTTTCTTAAGAATAAACATATGGGATTAGCGATGTTCGAGATCAAAGATAAATTAATTATTACTTCTGCATGAAGCAATATATCTAAAAATTTGTCTAATAGTTTAGTTCAATTAAAGAAACACAAACTTTAATTATATTTGATCTTTGCAATAAAGCTCAATGAACATCTGTTTCGACTTCAACGTGCAACACGTGTTCGAACACATGCTGCACTCTATCATCTCTACCTGTAAAAGCTATAAGCTAAAGTTTGGTATTTTTTGTTCAATCGGTAAATCATATTGAGTCATCTAAAAAGTATCCGCGGTTTTTTGTCACTAGATGATGTTAATGGTCAACACATCTAGTGACAAAAAACCGCGGATACTTTTTAGATGACCCAATATAACTTTGTCAACAATTAATGATTTTTTATATTAATAATTTTCTTATAAAATTGTTTATATTTTATACGAAGTTTTCTAAAGTATAATTAAAAAAGACTTGACAATAATCATCCAGATAATTGTATAATTATATGAAGAATTCTAAAAGAATTTTCGTCAGAATTTTATAATTGAAAAGAGATCCATAATATAATTATATAAATAAGACAAGTTTTTTAATTAATCGATTAATACATTTGTACATAATGTAATTGATCAATCGATAAATTAAAAAACTTGCTTATAATTTAAATTATGGACAATATTCGGTTTTCATGTTGCAAGTACGATCTTAAGATGTCATAAGTCAATCACAAGTCGTATTAACATCTTAAGATATTACCTAACATGATCTTAAAATAAAAATGGACTATGAATACTGATCTGAATATTTTTGAAACTCCATAATTAACCGACATATTGGCTAAGTTTATCCAAATGCATTCGAGAGGGCGCAACGGTAAGACACGAAGTGTCCCATTTATCATCCTTCCATCAGATTTATTTCTTTCAGTTCTTTTCCGGCAAATTTCGTGCACGTTTTAATATTGCTTTGGTGGATTCACGTTTCGTGTCGTAAGACTTAAAGGTACGTTTAAATTTAAATTTTGTCTTTATAAAGAATAATATTCTACATTCCGAATTATCTGAATATCGACAGATTGAATTAATTAACGTCTTCGTTCGATCGCACTTTACAATTCGTAACATCGATGGATACTTTCCACTTTCCATGCGTCACGTTTACGCGAAAGCGCAAATATCCGAGACGTTATATGTAATAAATATCGCTATCCACTTTACCGAATTACGATTAAATTTACTAAACAACATAGTGTAAGTTTTGAAAATAATATGAGGCATTTGATAGAAAATAGAAATGGAATTCGCGCGCGCCAAAGTGCAATAGGTTATGATCCGGTACAAATATATCAATATTTAAGATGTAAATACATTACCTATCACGCTCCGATCACGCGAATGATGTTTATAGTTCTTATTTGTATAAGCCAAACGTATCTCACGTATATTTATAGAAGCTTCTTATTTCATGATGATTATATCACCATCTTTCGACTGAATGATTGTGAAGATATATTTTCTTTTACTGAGCAAAATTAATCCTTAGAGTAATCACATTGTACAAATTAGCTTGCATTTATATTTTAATATACCATTTTGCAGAATGCGTTACGTGGCCGCTTACATGCTGGCAGTTTTGGGAGGCAAAGCCTCGCCAAGCCAGAATGACATTGAAAAAATTCTGTCGTCAGTAGGAATTGAAACCGATGTTGAGAAATTAAAGAAGGTCATTAATGAATTAAATGGCAAATCGATAGATGACCTGATTGCCAAGGGTATGTACATTCTTTGAAACATTTATCAGATTAATTTTAATCTTGATTTAACTATTTTTTTATTTCTTTCTAATTTTACAAATTGAAAAGAGATAAAGAATAAATTACAATAAAATTGAAATTAAATAAGCACCTAGAATTAAAAGTGTATAAGAAATTGTGGTTTGTAGAGTAAATAAGCTCAGAGAGAATATATAGATTTTTTGTGATTATCTTAGAATATAGCAATAACTAGAGTAATTTGTATAGAAGCGTAAGTTAAAGATAGGTGTATTGATTATTTATTTGTAAACAAAGTTCTTTCTTGATGTTAACTGAAATAAATTAATTCTTTTCTACCCTATTCATCAAGATTAAACTTAATCTGCATTGATAAAAATGGATATTAGAAATATTTATTTGGTTTGTTCTTTTAAACTTCTTGTATGATTCATACATTCTCCTCTTCACTAGAGAAAAAAAAAGGATAAATACAAGTTCAGTTAAAAAGAATAGATTATATTTCCATGAGCCAAACCAAATAACTTGTAAAATGAATAATATGAGTTCCTGAAACTATTTGTCTCAATTGCTTTACCCAACTTTTGATTTTCTAATTAACCTGTTACAAAACATAAACATTTGGAATAAATTTAGGGATTGAATCACTGAGGTCAATTGTTTTTCATTCAGAACTACATGTAATCCAAATCGAATTGTATTGTTTTGCAATTCTAGGCAGAGAGAAACTATCGTCCATGCCAGTTGGTGGAGCAGTCCCTGCTGGTGCTCCTGCAGCCCCTGCTAGTGGCGCGGCAGCTCCAGCTGAAGAGAAGAAAGGTAGGTTTACCTAACTTTGAAAGTCTAATTCTAAGATCCATTCTTTTTAGTTGAATTTCTTGCACATTTCATCTTTTCTCTTCAACGTGAAAAAAAAGGGAAAAGAGAATTATGCAAAAAATTCAACTAAAAGGAATAGGCTTCTATTTAAGATGTTTATAATAATACTAAATGCTTGTGTAAAATAACGAATAATATTTCTTTTAACAGAGGAAAAGAAGCCGGCTAAAGAAGAATCTGAATCAGAGGACGACGATATGGGCTTTGGCTTGTTTGACTAAAGACTCTTTTTTTTTTTTATTTTATCACCGAAGAATGAAATACACTGCATTCTGCAGTAGTGGTATGAGCGATTTCCAATTTAACTTTCATAGGCGTTAAGGATCATTAGCTGATACTTCTGCTGGAGAATAAAGCGTACTTTTAACTGAACTCAGTACCAATCTCTTTACATCCCTACTTTTAGTCACATTTGATTCTAAAACGAATTTTATACAGGTTTTAAACTTATTTAAATTGAATTTTATTAATTTAAATAATTTAAATTGAAAAAATTGTTATGTAAAATCCTGACGAAAATTCTTTTTAGAATTAACTGCATTCAACGTATCGCAAGGAGGTGTCGCGAGCGAAGCGAAACCTCAGCGATAACCTTCAGGATGTGTGTTTTATAAGAGAAAAAGTATTTTAATTAGAGAGGGAACGTGAAGAATGGTAGAGTGGGAAAGAGAGGAGGAGAGAAAGACGTAATCGACTGCGTGGAAGTACGTTACGCACTCGTGCGCCGCTCGGGCGGCTGCGGTTTCACTCGGTGGCGACAGCGGCAGGTGGAGTAAGAGGAGGGGGTGATGCGCGAGATCCGCCACCGAGTCCAATCGTGTCAAATCGTAGCTTGTATTCTTCCGCTGGTGTCGGAGCGCTCGCGCCGTGCTCCACTCGACACTTCTCTCCGCTAACGTCATCGTGATCGTTGATCGTCCAGACACGAGAAAATTTTCCGGCACTCATTGTCATTATTTAGCGATCGTGATCGTCGACCTTTTCGGATCTCTCTCGTGCGCGAGCGGTGAATCTTTCCACGGGGAATCTCCATACGCGGGAACTATTTCGAGTTAGAGGGGCGGCGTTGGCGGCCATGATGGGTGTCAGCGGCGAGTAGCGACGTTTACGCTCGCTCTCCGCTCAGTCGGTTTTTACGCGTTTCGACGAATTGATGTTGAGCGTCCCGCGACGGGACAGAGATAGACAGAGAGAGGCGCACACGACGACACCCGGGGGAACGAGATTCGTAAGTAAGGAGAATTTGATTTTGAGACTGTGTGATCTCCATCCGTGCACGGGGGAGATCTAAATCTGCATCACGGCGGGAACGGTGACTGAGAACCTCGCCACGACGGATCCCTCAGACATCTCGGCGAAAATGACGCAGCTACTACCCATAAGGTTCCAGGAACACCTGCAGGTACGTTTGCTCCGTGTTCCCTCTCCCTCCGTGAACTCCGCGCCGCGCGCCCCATCATCGGCATTTACCACGTCGGCCTTTCTCTCGGAACACCGGACATTTTCTCTGCCCCCGCATTTCTCGTCCTCTCTCTCTCATTTATCTCTCCCCCTCCTCCTTGTCTTTCTCTCTTTCGCGTGTGTCCATCCGTCGATGTATCGACGGATTTACTTGCCCCCGTCTCTTTGGAACGGAAGTGCAATATTTCGAAGTAACTGACGTTACTCTTTGACAGTTGCAATGTCTCCTCTCTCCCCCTTCCCTCCCTCCCCATCAGCCGAGCGCGATGAGACTCGATGACGTTACACACCCGACTCTGCTCTGACTTTGCCGACTTGCCTCTCCTCACATCGGATTTCCTGGCACAGGTTATCCGCATGGAATTGAACGTGATATCGCGGACCAGACGAACACATTTTATAATCCCGAGAGGTCTCTCCTCTTTTTCTTTTCCCCACCAAGACGCTATCGTCCAGCGCATACGCCCCTCGTTTCCGTTTTTACTCGAAACTGTTGCACCTTATCGGCATACAATCCTCCCATTGTCTCGACGCGTCATCGTTGGATATCATGGAAAATGCTGTCGCTCCTTCCCACATGTTCCGCATGTAGACGCTCGTTAGGATGATGGAAATCAAGCTGTTTACTTGCCACACACACACACACACACACACACACACACACACCGCAATTCGAGCATGTTTTATTTTAGCAACATATGGTTGTTACAATAATATTACACATTTATTGTGTTCAACAGAATATTTATTTTGCAACTGTTAAGTTTTCTTTGCTGCGATAGGACTATTTCTTTAGATCTAAAAATATAATTCAATCAGCCCAAACTTCCAATAGTTACAAAAATGTTGGAATGTCAGTTTGTTTAAAAATTTATTTTGTTAATGTCTTGCTTTATTTTTCCTGATTATACTGGCTATAATCAGTTATAGTATCTAAAATCAGTATTAAGCTCACATTGTTGAAGAGTGTACGTATTAGTCGCTTTTGGATTGTCAGAAATATATTGTCAATAAAGTTGACTCAATAATAAACCTCTTTGCTCTCAGAAAACATAAAATCAGCCATATATTGAATTTTATCCTCGACTAAAAACATGAGTTTGAAGAATACAAGGCTATCTATGTTTTTTATTTTTGCAGCTTACGGCTGTAGGAATTAATGCTAGTAATGTCAGTTTTAACACTCTCACCATGGAGTCTGACAAGTTCATTTGCGTTAGAGAGAAGGTTGGTGATACTGCCCAGGTAGTAATCATTGATATGAATGATTCAGCCAATCCTATCAGAAGACCAATATCCGCTGATTCTGCAATCATGAATCCTGCTAGTAAAGTCATCGCTCTCAAAGGTATGTATACATGCGCATACGAGTGCTCGATTTCAGGAAAAGGTATTCAATTATAAAAAGTAAATATCGAACTTTTGATTTTATTTTATTTTTAATCTGGAAAACAATATTGGCTGCTTTTGACAAAAGAAAACAAATAACGTGTTGCTTGAAATCCCCAAACATTTTGAGATTTATAATTAGATAAATATATATTTAGATGTTGAAAAGAGTAAAAGCAAGACTGAATACAAAAAGTGTGAGCAACGCGAACAGACCTACAGGTGACACAACGTAACACATGATGCTTTTCAGCAAATGATACAGTGTAACAGTAATCGTTTCATCTTTATTTAACAGTGGCAAACAATGATTCATTGTGTTATACTGTGTCTATGTGTTTTGTTGGAATGCACATTGTAATCTATACACGCATTTTCCTAAAGCGAGCAAGATAATGATTCTATAATAGTAGAAATATTGAAAGAAAACATGAGGCAATGAAAATATGACAATTACTAAGAGAAATTTTTTTTTAGCTATGAAGACGCTTCAGATCTTCAACATTGAGATGAAATCAAAGATGAAAGCTCACACAATGACGGAAGATGTGGTCTTTTGGAAATGGATATCGCTGAACACGTTGGCATTGGTAACAGAGACTGCAGTGTACCACTGGTCCATGGAGGGTGATTCGACGCCAAATAAAATGTTTGAACGTCATTCGTCATTAAATGGCTGCCAGATTATAAATTACCGAACAGATCCAAAACAGACGTGGCTGTTGTTGATCGGTATTTCAGCACAGCATAACCGGGTGGTCGGCGCCATGCAGCTTTATTCTGTGGAACGTAAATGTTCACAACCGATCGAAGGACACGCCGCCTCCTTTGCTCAGTTTAAGATGGAAGGAAACGGAGAGCCAAGCAATCTATTCTGTTTTGCTGTCAGAACGGTCCAGGGCGCGAAGCTTCACATCATCGAAGTGGGCCAACCACCCTCTGGTAACCACCCGTTTCCCAAGAAAGCTGTAGATGTATTTTTCCCACCTGAGGCAGGAAATGATTTTCCCGTCGCGATGCAAGTTAGCTCCAAATATGACGTCATATATTTAATCACGAAATACGGTTATATACATATGTACGATATTGAGTCCGCGACCTGTATATTTATGAATCGTATCTCTGGGGAGACGATCTTTGTTACCGCACCGCACGAAGCGTCTGGCGGTATAATAGGAGTGAATCGGAAGGGTCAAGTCTTGTCGGTCTCCGTGGACGAGGAGAATATAATCCCATACATCAACGGGGTGCTGCAGAACTCGGAATTGGCGTTGAGAATGGCCGTGAGAAACAATCTATCGGGCGCGGAGGATTTGTTCGTAAGGAAATTTAATATGCTCTTCCAAAATGGTCAGTACGCGGAGGCAGCGAAAGTCGCGGCAAATGCTCCCAAAGGAATACTCAGAACACCGGCGACTATCCAACGATTTCAACAGGTTCCTGCTACTCAGGGCCAAACGTCTCCTCTCTTACAGTATTTTGGTATTCTTCTGGATCAAGGACAACTGAATAAATACGAGTCGTTGGAATTGTGCCGACCGGTATTAGTTCAAGGACGTAAACAACTGCTGGAGAAATGGCTGAAAGAAGACAAACTGGAATGTAGCGAAGAGTTGGGGGATCTAGTGAAACAGGCAGATCCCACATTGGCGCTTAGCGTTTATTTGAGAGCCAATGTTCCTAACAAGGTAATACAATGCTTCGCGGAGACCGGCCAATTTCAGAAGATCGTATTGTATGCCAAGAAAGTTTCGTATACGCCCGACTATATATTCCTTCTGCGGAATGTCATGAGGATTAATCCTGATCAGGGTGTGGCGTTTGCACAGATGCTGGTTCAGGACGACGAACCATTGGCCGACATCAATCAGATTGTCGATATATTTATGGAGCAGAATATGGTGCAACAATGTACAGCGTTTTTGCTGGATGCGCTTAAAAACAATCGGCCGAGCGAGGGTGCCTTACAAACTCGCCTCTTAGAAATGAATTTAATGTCCGCCCCGCAAGTGGCTGACGCTATATTGGGCAATCAAATGTTTACCCATTACGACAGAGCTCACGTCGCGCAATTGTGCGAGAAGGCTGGCTTGTTGCAACGCGCCCTCGAACACTACACGGATTTGTATGATATTAAAAGAGCGGTGGTACATACACATCTGCTCTCGCCCGACTGGCTCGTAGGTTTCTTCGGTACTTTGTCCGTTGAAGATTCCCTCGAGTGCCTGAAGGCTATGTTAACGGCCAATATACGGCAGAACTTACAGATCTGCATACAGATTGCGACCAAATATCACGAGCAGTTGACGACTAAAGCATTGATAGATCTGTTCGAGAGTTTTAAGTCTTACGAAGGCCTGTTCTACTTCTTGGGGTCTATCGTGAATTTTAGTCAGGATCAAGAGGTGCACTTCAAATATATTCAGGCGGCGTGCAAGACTGGCCAAATAAAGGAAGTGGAGCGTATATGTCGAGAGAGCAATTGTTACAATCCAGAACGCGTAAAGAATTTCCTAAAAGAA